TCCCCGCCCCTTTCTGTTTGCTGCAGCGAGGTGGACTTGCCCAGCGTTGTTCTGCGCTGCTGTGGGTATGTCAGAGGAAAGTTTGTTGCTGCGATATATGTTTGTTTTCTGAACGGATGTTGTTGTTTATGTTGAGGTCTTTACCATATGTTATTTATTGTTGTTTGTTAGTGTGTTATTTTGCAGTTCTGACCATCATTGTGGGTTTTTATAACCAGTGTTATCATTTTCTTTTTTTTATTTTGGCGCCAACAACTGGTGTTAATCCAGCACAGTTCGGTTGAACATTGTTTTTATTTTCACATTTAGGCTGGAGTGCAGGGGCAGAGAGTTGAAGAGGAGGTTGATTTGTTTTTACTCTTCTCCCCCAGAATAAAAGATTGCATTGATACCTGGCTGAATGACTTCTAGAGACTCATTGATACCACCTGTTACACTGATTATAGCAGGTCCACTGTTAACAAAATATTGGCTTTTTCTTCCCTCAGTTATTGCCGATAGTGCAGGTGATGCCAGCAGTTACACTGGTGCTAAGAAACAGTTATTTTGTGGCAATATCTGTTAATTTTAGTCATGGCTTCAACACTACCAATGTTTCACTGGTTTATCAGCTTCTCCACCTGAGAAAACAAAATATTTGATTTGTTTTACACAAATATCAAGGATTCATTATCTACAAACACCTCTCATTTGTGTAAATGACATCACAACCTTGTTCTTCTCTGCTCAGAATATAACCCCCTTGTTCAGAGACTATCTGTAAAGAAAAGGACTTTGAGGAAATTGTCACAGGAAGAAAAAGAAAGCCCCACAGGGTTTCTTTTGAGTTTACAGATTGGACTACTCTCTGCAAGCCACATGGAGATGACATCAGTGCCATGATTGAGTGTGTGACCTGCTGCAAAAACTCCTGTGTGGACAGCACCATCCCCACCAGAACAGTGAGATGCTTCCTGAATAACAAACCCTGGATCACCAGTGAACTAAAGAAACTGTTAAACATGAAAAAAAGCCTTTAGGGAATGAGTTGCAGAAGCAGTTCAAAGTCAAGATTAGAGACAGCAAGGAGAAGAACAGGAAGAAGCTTGAGAGCAAGCTGCAGAGGAACAATATTAGAGATGTGTGGTTAGGGATGAAGAAGATTACAGACTTTTAAAAAAAAGGGTGGGGGGAGGGGGTCAGGTCGATGAGAGCCTGGACAGAGCAAATGAGCTGAACACATTCTTCAAGTTCAGTTTAGGAATAGGCTCATCATTGTCCTCTCCTGTCTCCTGCCACACAGATATCCCTCCTTCCACCTTCCTCTGACCCACAGGAACATGCTCAATGATTTTGCTAGTGCATTTACTGTACATAGAGAATGTGGTCAGGCCAACTTCCATAGAGAAATGTGCAGTACAAGTGTTTTATTATTTTATGTATGTATATATGTATAAATAAAGTTTGCTTACAGAACTCACAGGTCAACTGAAGATGCTGTTGTCACTGTCCTGCATCTTCCCTGACAGATTTAGTGCGTAAACTGGCAGACCTGGGAATTCCCTCTTCTTCCACGTGTTGCTAAGGACTTTCTTACATATCGCAAACAAAGAGTCAGAATGGGCCCCCATACCTCTTCAGCCATCATCAGTACTGGCTCTCCTCAGGGCTGTGTGCTGAGCCCTCTGCTTTTCATGCTGTACACACATGATTGTGTTTCAGTCCATCAAAATACCACCCTCATCAAATTTGCAGATGACACAACTGTAGTGGGCCTCATCTCAGGGGGCAATGAGTTTGCCTACAGGAATGAGGTGGAGTGACTGACAGCATGGTGCACAGACAACGACCTGATCCTAAACACAGCCAAGACCAAGGAGATCATAGTGAATTTTAGAAGTAAAACAAACATTCAACCACTAAACATCTGCGGAGAGCCAGTGGAGAGGGTGTGAAACTTCCGTTACCTGGGAGTTCAGCTCATGGATAACTTGGCCTGGGATATAAACACTGCAGAACTGGCAAAGAAGGCCCAGCAGAGTCCTCAGGAGGAATGTGTGTGTGTGTNTTACCACCCCCACACCACTAGAGGCAGCAGCAGGCCGAAAAGATGCGACTAAGGAGCAGATTTAGAAGTACACCGAAAGCTATAGAATTTGCTAAAAACTGTGAGCTGCCCTGGAGTAAATAAAAGAGAGAAGTTCAAATACATTCTTAGAGTGAAACTAAAGGTGAAAATATATCACAGAATTCAAAAGAGAATACAAACGGAAGTATAGGAAATGCTGTACCTAAT